ATACAAGGTCGAAGAAGTAGTTTCGCCAATTTTAAATATGATCTTGTTGATACTAAAGTCGGCGATGCTTTTGGTCTTTAAATAATCCGCAGCACGACCCAAATGTAAAACATGTCGCCTACTTTTTGGAAAAGGATATGTAAAATCCGCGAACACAGACAAATAAATTCAGGTAATAAACTCTCCTAACTAAACGAATGACCTAAAATAAATGGGTGTTCTATTTTACAAACATACCTATTGTTTTATTATAGTTAGGAGGGTAAGTTGAGGTGCTTGGTTGAGCTCACTCATTCAATTGCAAGTATAGAAAACAATTACGCTGACGATTTGCAAATTTTACATGGACTATGGCAAAACCTACTTTACTTAACGAACAATGTGCCGTTTAACAGGAAATGTGTTACGCATGCAAAAATCTTTTTTTTTAGTGAAATTTGTTTTCACAATATTTCGGCATTGAATAGATGCTTCCTTCATTTGTGTGAATATTCTTTGACATATGTATCTATTTTGAAAATTTTGTCGTTGACCTTAATAAAAAAGAAGTTAATGTACAAAAGTTAAAACTGTTATGGCGGAAAGCTGAAAAGTCAGTTCATGGAGCCTGCTTCGGTTTTGTTTGGATTGTATGGTTAATTGTATGCAATAATATAATATATCTTGGGCTTTCTTTTGAAATTTTTATTTAATGACAGTTATTTGAAATTTGAAAAAATTGTCTTGTAACATATCTCTTGATGAGTAAGACATCCACGCTAAAAAGTTATTTTGTTATATAAAATTAAGGGATCGTCTTTTTTGAAATTTTCGAGAAATCGATTTGCATTGTCGGATAGTATACATTATAATAAACATTCTCTCAAATTTTGAAAACGAAATTCAAATTATTAGAATTTTCGTAATTTGTCAATAGATGTCGTTGCAGTCGTATCTCTCCAGTGCTACCAATCACATTGTGCCATACCATATAGTGTTGGAAAAGTGAGATTTTAAGCTTCATTTAACCAAAAATTAAATTCGGCGAAGTAGAAAAAAAGTTACAGCTGTTCAAAAATGAGTGAAAATTTTGAAGAAATCCGCTTTGTATAAAAAGTGAAGGCGGTGCTCCATCAGTTCTCGCAATGGTACGCTCGCTTCTGTTCTGGAAATTCCGAAATTTCGATTTACACTGATGGAATAATGCCACTAACGGAGAAATGGCAAAAGGGGGTGTACATATTTGTTTATTTATTTTTTTGTATAATTATAAAAAAAATAAGATTAAGTTTGATTAAAAATACGAAAAGATTTTTTCGACTACCAATATTCAATACGATAGTATAAAATAACTAGTCACTTATGCAGATATAGTAAGACTTTGTCTCCCATAAATTTGATTTCTAATGATCTTATAATGAAAGTCCTTAATTAAATTTTTTCATTGCTAATATGTGTTATTTTGGAGAAATAGAACCAGTTGGCTCGTGCACTGTTGAAATGATACTCTTTCCTTTCCTAAGTTATACAATGTGTGCATCTATATGATTTTGTATGGAAAGGTATATAATTTCTGCATTCTTAATCTATAATGGGAACAATAGAGAATATTGAGAGGTTTAAAAAATGAATTAAATGAAATATTTTAATCCCCATTATACTTTAGGCATTAGGCAAACAGGAAGTTACCTCGCAATGTTATGTTTCTCTAATCGAAGAATGAAACAATCAACCATTTGTATGATGGGCAGTTTCTGCATTTAAGACTTCTTCCTGTCTCAGAGCGTTATTCCTACACCGTTTGTTTTCTTTGCTTTTCATCAGATGGTTTTTATATATATTCTTTAAAGCCAAATTCTATGTACATACATATATAGTATATACGTATGTTTAATATAAAAATAACAGTTTTCTCACCGATATAATAGATAATGAACAGAAAACAGTTAACCGGTTGGCCATTGAATTTTGTTTCAATAATAATAAAACGGAAGCGTTTACAATGTCATAAGGGCGAATGTACAGGAAAGTGTCAGCAGAGATAAGGTTTGGAATATACGGTAAATACAAATTTTCAGTACTTCTACTTAAACCAATTATTATATATGATTTAGAAACCAGTCAGTGAAATTGTAACATCGTATGAAGCCAACGAAATAAATTTTGTTCAATTATTTTGCTGAAAAAGAAACAATTCAGAGCATTATTATATACATATATGTATACCTAAGAATATTACATGGTTATATGTACCAGACATATGTAAGTTGGGTTTCTGAAAGCTGTTAGGGTCTTTGACTATACCATGTGTAGGTTTAATTATTACATGTTTTCCAAGAAGCTTTTCATAGAAAATTTGTGAAACTAAAGACATTGTTTTGACATCACTCAACATTTACTCCTTTCATTGGAATCGCCTCTGACATGGCGTAAAGATTTTTCGCGAAAGTATTTATGTATATTATATCACGAATATACTTGTAGTAGCCAAATTGCTCCATTAAATTGCGCCCAAGAGTATAATTGAAAGTAAACAAGAAAATAAAGCTCAAGAAAGAGTACGTGTGTGTTTGAGGTGGGGTAAAAATCTTAATATGTAGAATGAATTAAAATACTTTTGTTTGAACCAGTGTTGACGAGCAAGAGTTCTGTGTTATCAGCGATAAGGCCAGAAGCTGTGCTGCAGCTAGGGGGGCTAAATAAATTTCAGTATAAGCGCTGATTGAATGCTTGTTTGCAAAGGACGGGCGTCGCGTAGCATATCTGTCAAATCCGTCACATGCGACTTTAGATGAAATCGCTGCAACTTAGCATTGATGCGCGTAGTTTGAAGATCAAGGACTTTGGGCTTATCATGGGGTCGGCCACTGCACTTTGCGCATAGTCACTAATTTGGGTAGCGAAATTTTCAGCTTATACTGTGCTATTATCGAGTAATCACATTGCGGTGGTTCTTTTTGCGAACTCGTTCGGAGAGTAGAAGAATGTACTATTTTTAAACATACATATACAATATTTATATATGAGTACATACAAATGCAAGTATTTGCAAGTTATCTCATCATACATACATATGTGCATAAATGTGTTTTCTATAGTTTGCATACTCATGAAAATATTATTTGGAATTGTGTGTTGGTAGCTTAAGTGGTCTCATTTATGTGTATTGTACATACATATATTATACATACATACATACATATGTACGCTTGCTATTTACTTGCCATAATTTCTATTGTGGCCACCGTTGGGTGTTTTGCTTAGCTGTTGCAAAGTGACGACCCGATGAATTCTCAACCAAACTGTACATCCATGATAGGTAAGAAATAAATATTTACTTAATTAAAATAAAAATTAGCTTATTAAACTCCGCAAGTATGTATATATGTATGTATGTATATGTATGAATGTAGATATGAATGTACGTATATAGTATACTAAAATAGTTTACAATACATGCATGGAATACTAATTTTATTAAAATAATTTTTGGCTAATATAAAATTATTAAATTCTACATACATATGTATTAACTTATTATTATTATATTGGCAAATAATAACCCGATATGAAAAAGAAAATGGAAAACATCACATGGTAATTGACTTGAATTCATTTTATGATCGCAACATTTAAATCCTAATAACTGCATCAAATTAAAAATAAATTAAAGGTTTAAAACAAAAATTACTATTGAGTATTACAATCACAATATATAATAATTTTGCTAAGTAAATTCTAGTAAAATACATACGTAACTGAGTAAGTAGCGGTGTGACAACAATGTATGTATGCACATGAGTACATATGTACATGCAAAAATATTAATCTTCAATATATGCCGAGAAAGAATTATAGTTTGTGAAAAGAATGAAAATATAGGTACATATACATATGTATGTATGTATGTATATAAGACATTAGTATAGTTTGACTTAACTAAATATAAGTAAGTTCTCATTGTCTTCATGTTCAGTATAAATGTCACATGTCAACAATCTTTCAAAGCCAATTAGTATTTGATATAACTAGCGTTGACATGAGGCAAACTCTTTCAAATTCATATAAAAAACTTTGAAAAGTACAGAAATTCTAAAGGTATGCATTCATATTTTTTACATTTAATTTTGTTGCTTGTTAACGTTCGCGTTGACATTTGTTACGAAGTGTCAAAATTTGCGAGCTATGCACCATACGATGACAGCACGTTGACATTGTTATCCACATACATACATACATATGTATATATTTTCTTAACAGTGGTAAACCATCATCAACTTTTGTTACTATGTGGACTCACCCATGGTATTAACTGTATATTCATATGGTAATGCGATACTTTTTAAAACACACAAAAAATCATTAGTCACTTTATGTGAGTACCGAATTGCATGGATAGCTTTAATTACCAAACAATACGTCTCTGATTATCCTGTCTAGCATTAGTACTGATTCATCACTTGTGAGTGTTGTCACATTTGGACATGCTACTTGCAGGGGGGGGCGCCGCTATTAGCTTGCTGGTAGTCCAGTACCTTTGACAATGTTAATCCTTATATATCATGTATAACACTAAGCATGTAGTAGAGTTATTTTTTGAGGTTTCCCAATTGAAACCGTTATATATTTTTAAGTGTGATTTTAGTCACTTTGTTACCTATAGAGCCATTTTAAAGCAAACAAGCAATTCTTAATATAATCATTTGCTTGAAATTAATTGGATCGGTAATATTGTAACTATATTCGATTGACGTTATATCAGTAATATTCCGTTCTCGACCGTATATATGTACATACATATGTATGTACATTTGAGAATTACTATGATGTATGTATGTATATAGCTTGGCTCGAGTGAACAATAGTTTATTCTCTCCTCTCATAGCAATTTGAATTTAGCTGTCATACACCGAAAGGACTTTGAAGAAAGTATTCTAAAATTTACCCGACACAAATTACAAAATATTTCTTGTTTATTTGTTAAATCTAATTTACATTTAAATATACTTCAAAAGTTTCGAAATTTGATTTAGCAACGGAAATATTAGGTTTTACGTTTTCAACAGCTTTGTTGTCGGCAAGGATATTCACAGATAATAAAACCATAAAATTCCTGCATATTTGTATTCGTACGTACATACATACATGTGTTTGTATGTTATTTATTAGTATGTATATTAATATTGTATTAAATGGCATACAATCAAAAGATTAAAAACAAAAGAGCCTTAATTTGCACTATATACAGTCCCGAAGTGCTGATAGGCAATTGGTTCCAAGAGCGTATGAGTGGTCTACAAAACGACGTTCACGCCATAACACCAGGAATTTACGGTCAAAGTGGATGTATCGATGGAAAAACCACGTATAAAAGCGATTATTTAGAGCCGGTTGCAAAAGACGATCCAAGAGGTGCAGACGATTTTATAAATGTTAAGATAATTCGTTTTCGCAACAAAATGAAAAACAAAGAAACAAATATACAACAATGCAATGACATATTTCTGCATAATATGACGTCCATGGCAGATCTTCAGTATCGGATTTTACCAGAAACATCACGAGGTTTGTTGGGTGGGAACGATTGGATGTTAAAAAAGAACCCGAAGAAAGAACTTACTCGAAATTATGGCAATCAGACAAATTTTGGATTACTTAAAGCTAAGCGTTGTGATGAGCTTCGGGAATTGCAGAAGTATCGCCACTTATCTGAAACAAAGAGCAATTTTGGACTTAAAATTAGAATCCCCTTAACACCGACAAATCGAAAATGCAGTGGGAACCTATGAATATACATATGTACATTTCTATAAGTATATGCATTAATATTAAACTATACACATACATATCATCGAATATCTATAGTAAATATAGTTATAGTTTTTAAACTACTAGTTTTATCAATAACAAATGTTTTTTTTTACTAATTATTAAATTTGTGACAAATTGACCGTTCTTCCAGAAAACTATTTATAAAATTTCTAATAAGTACAAGCGTTTACAAATTGGATGATTTCTAAACTTATAAGGATAATGTTGTGGTAATAATGGGTTCATTTGAAAAGCATATATAAATTTACTAAAAACGATTATTATAGCATTTATAACATTCACTGTACTTTTCATATTGATTGATTTTTGGTGATTTCAGCTCCGAACCAATTATTATTAACACTTGGAATTTTACAATGTGTCTATATAAACGGCAAAATCTTTACGTGATATAACACTCGTTCAATTCGATTCCACCACAATTAGCGAATGCTGACACACACTTTTCCATTATTCTCACTGATAATCGAGAAAAAATAGAGAAATTAACAATCGCCGCTATCTTCAAAGAGTAGAGTTTGGGATTACGTCTTTTACATTATTATTATGTCATGTGTCTCCTTTTTTTTGAATACTTACACAGTTCACATAAACCGGTTCTTTATATTCACTTAACGTAGTTATCCTTTGGGGAAGCACGTACCTTTGACACTTAAATTATTAAAATTTTCACCTTCGCAAATGATTTTTCACTGGCTAAACTAAACTAATCTATAAAAAAATTAACAAAGCACGAATCCATCTACGCTTGATGAGATTATAGAGACCACTGCATCGAATGTGCTAACTCTGACTGCCATGGCAAACTCTTACTTACTAAATAATTATTGAAAAATTGCATCTGTTCTATTTTTTGGCCTCAGCACTAGTACTTATTTCTCCAACATTATATATTCAACATTGTAAATCACATCATTTTTAGATGTGTAATAATTTTTGGAAAGTCGTTTAATTTTTCCTATTTCTTTTTGACATGGTTTTGATTACGATTTTTTTGGCGCCGCGATTTGAGGGTATAATCTGAAAGAGGATGATCTCTGGATTAGAAAATATATACGCGTATACCCTTCGCAGACTTATAGTTTACGAGATATTTGTATTTAAAATTCCACAATTTTATATGCAATTCACTCTCATTTTATTTTTAATTACATGACATGGCAAATACCAGTGTTGCCACATATTGTGATTTAAAAAAATTACCAAAAAATCACCTGGGTGTTCATAGTTCTTTTGTATCGAACTATTTTCTGCACTGGCAGCCTTCGGCCGCGCTTCAAAAAAAATAATCCTGGTCGGTCCAAAACCGGGTTGTTCATAGTCAAGGGGAGAAATACTGAAAAACTTTGCATTCTATAATAAGTTTTTTCTATTATGGTATATAATCCATATAAATAATTGAAACAATAGTTTATTTTGAATAATTTATATCTCTAAATATGAAACATAAAAGTGGTTTATTATATTCTCAGGACGCAAAGAAGGGCAACACTGCTATTTTTCATAAATGTAAATACATAAATCTCTTGAAAGTTTGAATGTGCAAAATAGTTTTTAAAGTATATTTATTTACTTAAAAAATGCAGAATTATACAGTGTAAATTTTTGATATACATATTTGAATATGTACAGCGTAATTAAATATAAATTAACGAAATAACGAGCATTGTTTTTAAAAATTTTTGAACTTTAAATAGAAATATCTCGAATCTCTGAGAAGGGTATATGTGCATACATTTTTTAATGAAGACCTCCTATATCCATCCGTAGCATCAAATCGCGGCGCCAAAAGAATCGTAATATTGCCGTTTTAAAGTGTTTTAGCGAATTCGACTAATCTATAAAGAACTAAAATATAAACATACGTACTAAATTTAATTTAAATAATTAGATTTTATGCAATATGTCCGATTAGTTAATTACATACACATGTAGATAGATTAGATGGTAAAGATTTTCTCTCAAACAAACATGAGTTTCACAGATATGTATGTATGTGTGTTCGATTTTATTACTCTCTCTCCTGTCGTCAACGATAAACTTTTAAATTTTATAGACTTCCCGTTGCGTTTGTGCAATTTGATAACCAACGATTAATGTCCTCCTATTTTGTTTGCATTTGCTTCTATTATATATTCGATAAATTTCTAGTTTTCATTTTCATTGATTTCACTTCGATTATGGTCGTGTTATTTATATGTACTCTGAATACCGGAAATTTCACTTTCATTCACAAAGCAATAATTTGTTTCCACATTTTTGTGGGTTTTTCGTGTTATTTGAATTTCACTTTCGCTTTTAACGCTTTACAGCTCCTCGCATCAAAAATATAAAGAAGAAACCAAAGGCGTGTCGTGATTGCCATCCGAGGCAGCACAGTTGGCAATGGATGATTACTGATCAGCAAACTAACATTGTTCTTTGGGCACAAATCAAAACCGCATGCATCGGCTTTATGTTTAATTATTTGTTGTTAATATTATTGGTGCATGTTTTGCAAAAAAAAAAAAACGTACATATATGTGTTGCACAAGAATACAATGAATTTGTTTCCCTTGATTTATTGGTACCAATCGCGTTTGCAGTAACATGTGATTATCCCTTTACATTTTGTTGGTTTCATCGGAAATGATATCTCTTTTTTATTGCAGGGAACCAATAAAGAACTCTTCTATCTCAGAGAACTTTTCCACTGAACTTTCCAATTTATCGCAATAATGCACATTTGTGCACAAAACCACAAAGCCTTGGGACGGTACTATAAATGTTATATGGACATATTTTATTGTTGTATCTATGAGTTGTTGTTGTAGAAGCAACAGATAGTGCACTGTTTTGAAATTTCGACAATAACGCTTTGAGGAGATTTTTAAAATATTACGGACATGCTTAGAATATCCTTTTCAATCCGTTAAACGGGTATGGAATCATTCTGTTTTAAGGTAAGATCTTGCAAATTAATTCATACGTATGGTTATGTACATACATATGTACATACTTTGCTGTGAAGAGGGACAACCGATCTATAATACATATGCTTTGTATGTATATGTACGTGTGGATATACATATATAGATGTTATGTGAATATTTTGAAAATGTGTTTATATCGTTAATTGTTGTACAATGACTAATTCATGAAACTCGATTTAAGTAGGAACCACTCTTATAAAATTGATCAACGGTCTAATTACCATATGATCATTACTTGTGCATTGCAGAGATAAACAAAACCGAAAACCGGCAATGTTGTTTTCAAATGTCTTGTAGAAAAAAATGAAAAGGTCAAGAAATGGATAGCTACGCAACCATTCGCAAATGACATGAACACACATTGCAAAATCTGAAGGTATTCAAAATTTCTTTTCAAGCGCAAAAGGCTAAGCCTAAAAGGGATGAACCCAAAACCAGATAAAACAGCAAGTGTTCAAAAGGATAGATAATAAGAATATGTGGCGAATAAACCGATGCGAAAGGATATTAGAAATAAAGATTATCCTGACGAATGAGTAAATTCGGATTTGTAGCCGAAATGCAACTTATGCGCATCAGCGTCCAGTTTGGGTTGAAAAGAATCATTGAACCACTAGCTGATTGCGGTTTGTTATATACAGTTTTATGCAATTCGGAAACTTCTAAAATACTTTCAGCACCAGACGTCTTGCAACGGCGTATTGCATACTTGATCTTTCTCGAAATCAATTCTTCTTTATATACAGCAAGTAACTGAATCCGTACCGAGTTTCAATTGAATTTTGCCCGAATGTCAATGTGAAAAGTACTTCCTGCTTTACCAAAATTTTGAGCGAAATACATATCTATTAGCGCTGTCCAAAAATATACACGCTTATGTTTGTCTCTGAAAACATATATATGTAACCAAATCAGTAGCTGATGAAATGAAAAGCAACGTGGGTGGGAACCTTTTTACCGGGCACTAATTCTCTGTTACCTTCCACATAGAGACAATGACATAATATTATTCAACCTGATGTTTCTAAAAAGTAGCAATCGCTTTTAGAATTGAACATGTTTCATAATGATTCGTTTCTACTTTTCTGCAGTTTTTTTACACTCATTCTAAAAAAATGAAATCGATAAATGTAGAGATTTTATGTTCTGATAACATTAATTTGTTAAACTTATTTACTGACATTTGAGACCTCCCGAGCTAATTTTTATAAAACACAGAAATGGGTTCTGTCGGGATTACATACGTATGTGTCATATAAAAAATAATAATACTAGAGTAACTTTTTATGAATGAATAAGTTGTGATTCAATAGATTGATAAAGGCTCTCTATACATTTTCTTGATCTCGTTCTTATTTGTTTAAATTTGGAAATGATATTGTGTTCTATTAATGTATTTTCATTATAAAGTTTGTACTTATATTTATAAATTGTGACAAAAAAGAACCCGGAATTTGTAAATAGAACGCAAAATATTTAGTTATACATCAATATTTATGGTGATCCTCACCAGATGTAATATACATATGCCAACGATTTTTCCAATCCTTGACACACTTTTTATAAACACTTTTTGGGATGGCCTTTAGCTCCTTTAGTGAATTTCGTTTTATCTCTTCGATCGACTGAAAACAAGTTCCACTGAGTGGCAAATTCAGTTTCGTGAACGGGAAAAAAGTATACGGGGTGAACCTGGCGAATACGGTGGTTGATCAATGATATTCATTGCGTTTTTGGCTTTAAATTCGGTCATAATCGTACTATTTAAAAAAAAAAAAAAAATCAACTTTATCGTGACCAGTCGAGGAAGAACGCATTTCATTCCCAAAATATCCACCAAAATCATTCTAACGGACTCGCGAGAGATGTTGATCTCTCTTGCCATCTCTCTAACACTTGCCTTAAAGGCTTGTGTTTTTGAATCACCATAAATCTTTTCGAACATCCACACCGATTCCGCGCACGAATTGGAGCTTCAGTCGATCTACTTATTGAGACAAATTATATGTAAACTAATTTGTAATGAGTTCTGTGGCATATATATAGTATATAGTATATGTACAAGTATATATTTT